CTAAAAAAAAAAAAAAAAAATATATATATATATATATATATATATATAAAATAATTACTCTTATTTTTATTTATTATATTAACACTTGACATAAAAAATAATATTGTTTAAATTATAACAATAGGAAGTGCGTTAATATATTATTTGAATTGGTATAAAAATTACAATAGAACTTACAAATTAAACATGGATTTTATCCTAAACTTAAGGTTTTTATTGAAAAAGAAAAACAGCATATATTTTTTAATATCTATATTATATTTTAAATAATGTGTTAAATTAAGCATTTGTTCATATATTCCTATGGTTTATCTTGTTCAAATTAAACGGGAGAAATTAAGCAAATAACTATGTATATAAACAAACAATGAATATAATGTTCAGTAGAGTTCATATCTCATGAATGTATAATAATCTTTAATCGTTAGTTTTAAGATATTATGTAAATCATATCTTTAAACCTAAAAAAACAAACTTAAGGGACCTAAGAGTAAAAAATAATAACCATTTATTAGTTTGTTTGTACTTAATCAATTTATAGGTACATTACAAACTTGGAGGAACTTTATTTAACTCATATAGATTATACACTCTAGAGAGTATGTTGTAAAGATGATTTATTTAATAAAGATTCTCATTGCTTGATCTTTTATTATATATGAAAATTTTATGAGATTAATCTTTAATCTAGTTAACTAAAAATATTTTCACAAAAAGAAAACTTTTTTCTTTTGGCATTCGTGTTACCTACTTTACTAGTTTCAATAATTGGTTTATTGTTTGTAACTATACTATTGTTGCCCTTTTGTTTATTAATATTTATTCATGTCGATGGACTCATAGCAAGTCCCAATCCGTGGCTCTTAATGCTTTCGAACTGATAACATAGATGGATAACAAATGGATATAGTGGACATAACAAATGTGTGCATGTCGTTTACTCTGTTTGGTTTTGTCCTCTTACAGCTATTATGGCCTCTATGTATAGATCCATTTGAATGCATGTGATTTAACAAAGCCCTATTATTTTTCACCAACCCCATGAGCATGCCTTTCCACTCAATCATGCACTCCCATGCATATATTACACTACGGTGAGTGATAAATTTAAAGTACTCTACTATATATGACTGCTCAGTGGTCACCTAATCTATTATTTGATATATCAATCTAGCTACCTAAAAATAACCATTTCCTCAAAAGTGTAGATGCACTAATGAAAATGTTGCCTCCACCTAAAAGATTATCAATATAGA